TACTAGGAGCAACGGGCATCGCTACTAGGAGCAAGGAAGCTACTAGGTGCTCCTGGCCTTACTACTAGGAACAAGAATGATACTAGTAGCAAGACAATCACGGAGAATTTGCCCCCAAACAGCGAAAATGTCTTCTTTCCGATGAGTGCGCTATTGCGACCTGCCTTTAGGGGTTAGGAAGCCTCATCAACGAATTTGCAGTTTTGGCAGCAATTGCGGCGTTTCTGTCAGATTGGAAGACATGGTTTGACAACCTGAATCACTTTTGTTCACGCGTTGCATCCCAAAAGAATGCAAAGAGGCATGTTGAAGGGATGGCAGACTCACAGGCATGGTCATGCCCCTTCTTTCAACTCTTCAACAATCTCGCACGTCTGGCTTCCATCAAATGTTTCTTCAGCCAGTGTTTGCAGCTAAGATTCACGATCTGATGACGATGATGATGAGCTGACGCTGATGGCAATAATCGCTGAAAAAATGATGGCAATCGAAGCAAAAAGGGTTACTCCAAACGCCGCTCGCAGAACGGTGAAGACCTTGCGGGGCGCGGTTAGTGCGTTCAATAGCAAGTCCTTCCAGAACTTGTTGCACCACAAGTAGCCCCATGATGCCACTGTGTTTTTTCAAACGTTTTAAGTTTATATAATTAAGGGATTTTTAATAAGAAGAAACAAAACTATCGCTGCAGTCTGGCAAGCTGCTGTAGGTTTTGCTTGGCTCCACGCCTGCCAGGGGGCACAATCTGGTGCAATCTAGTTGGTAGGCCTCCAACCTACTAGCAAGGGCCTCAACTAGTGATGGTCTCCAACCTAGTAGCGCTGGTCTCCAACCTAATAGCAATGGCCTCCATCCTAATAGCGATAGCCTCCAACCTACTAGCGAGGGCCTCCATCCTACTAGCAAGGGCCTCAAACCTACTTAGTGATGATCTCCAACCTAGTAGCGATGGTCTCCAACCTGATCGCAATGGCCTCCATCCTAATAGCAATGGCCTCCATCCTAGTAGCAATGGCCTCCTACCTAATAGCAACGGCTTCCATCCTAATAGCATTGGACTCCAACCTACTAGCGATAGCCTCCAACCTGCTAGCGATGGCCTCCAACCTACTAGCGATAGCCTCCAACCTACTAGCAAGGGCCTCCAACCTAGTAGCGATGGTCTCCAACCTAATAGCAATGGCCTCCATCCTAATAGCATTTGCCTCCAACCTACGAGCGACAGCCTCCAACCTACTAGCGAGGGCCTCCAACCTACTAGCAAGGGCCTCCAGCCTACTAGTGATGGTGTCCATCCTACTGCGATGGCCTCCAACCAAATAGCAATGGCCTCCATCCTAATAGCATTGGCCTCCAACCTACTAGCGATAGCCTCCAACCTACTAGCGAGAGCCTCCAACCTACTAGCGATAGCCTCCAACCTACTAAACCTGCTAGCAAGGGCCTCCAACCTAGTAGCTATGGTCTCCAACCTGGTAGCAATGGCCTCCATCCTAAGAGCATTCGCCTCCAACCTACTAGCGATAGCCTCCAACCTACTAGCGAGGGCCTCCAACCTACTAGCAAGGCCTCCAACCTACCTACAACTCGACATCTGCTCTCTGTTCTAGGGGAGGTTCTATACTGCAGGCAAGCACGGCGGCATGCTACAAAACCATCCATGCACGTTAAGAAGTGATTTGCTTAAACGCACGTTCGCTCACTTACGCGCGCAGCCCAACATAAACACCAATACCGCGGCCTCACCCACAACTACACGACCACACGTGACAACCACTGCATAGTCATCCCACAAAATGAAGATGACGGACGAAAATAGAAAGAGTCAGAAAGGGGTGGGGTTGCGCAGCTCCTTCCCGGCACAAGTTCTTAGTGCCTGGAGGGTATCACCGCCTTAGCGTCTGACTTCGGCGCGGCTCACTTTGTCACTTTGCCCGTGATCGTGAGGGACCTCCGCGGCTACCCTACTTGTGCGCCCAGTGCATTTGCAAGTATGGGCCCGCAAAAGGGTGAGTGTGTGTGTGTAACCCTTGGAATCACAGGGATCCTTTCGGATTGTTTTGCTTTGTTTTTGCTTTGAATTTTCCAGCAGGGGGACACGGCACCAGATTGCAGACCGTGTCTAACAAAGCTATGCAATCTGGTGGGATATCCAGCTTGGCCAGCTGGACGTACCTGCAATTTTCCAATTTCAGCATGGCGTGAGGCTAAGCCAAGAACCTCGCAGACTTGATGTTTTCTTTGCACTGCAGATGTGAGCGGACGACGTCATTCTGTCGGTCGATCGTTCGGTGGTTCCTTTAACTTTACTGGCCACGCTGAACTTGATGGACCTCCACTTCCTTTTCAGGCCTCCTTACCCATACTCTTAGGAAATGGAACCCTAGGCCGGCGTGTGGCACCGCTGTCAAGTCAGTATGCATATCCATAAGTGTGTTTGGCCTCATGCCAACCCGGGATGAGCCCGCAGAGTGCCTCCCGTTAGTCGTTATCTCCCTTGCTCCGGCGATGTACGTGCCCAGAGCGGGCGAAGGTGGCCTAGGCCGTACGTACGATGATTTTTGTCTCATCTTTGAAATTCCAAGTTGGCTCATGCCTTTACGTGACCGCAGCGGTCCAAGCTGGCTTAACGCCTCAACGTGGTCAGAGCGACCGTAGCACTTTTGAGGTTCATTGGAACCTGTTGGAGCCTTAGTTTTTCAGGTGATCCGATCCTCCTTCCCGCCATCAATCCTTCTCCTTCCGGTCTTGCTCCAGTGGAGGGCATACCGATGAGGGCCCAGGCTATTCTACACCGAGAAATTCTTCACGCACATGGCCTATTGACCCTCACCATTTCACTCCTTCGTACTCGCTTCGCCATTCGTTCCCCTTCCTTTCTGGACTACATCACCTCGCCACACCTTCAGGTACAGATCCGAGGACTTGATTCGGCGATTCGCCAGGCGACGCAGGCTGTTCATACCGGTTTGCACTACATTCAGGAGCTTAATTCTCACTACTTTTGGCATGATTCACGCCCTGACCTACGACACTGCTCAACTGGACGCAGAACTACGTGGACGCACCACTTTTCCCGACCCTCGCCTTCCTCCCCTCCTTCTACTTTTGGTTCCTCTTCGACTCGACGAATGACACCTACCAGTTCCACTCCGGATGAACCATCGTTCCCTCCACCTCGGAACTCTGCATCACGCTCTACACCTGGCATTGTGGTTACTACCTCGAACCGCACTCTTTCCGCTGCCGAGATTCGAGCTATTACGTCTCGTTCTCGCTCTCGATCTCACCCTCGTTCGACTCCGAGGCATACATAAACTTACCCTCCCACCATCGAGCCGCCCATCGGGAAATGAGCCACTACGCTTTTGATTTTTCCTTGTGATTACAACATGACCGTTCGCATTGCCTCCTCTTGTCCTTTCCGTTGTCTCGGCCTTCCTTGGCTCTAGGACCTTGTACGACGGCCCCTCAGTTTCGTTTCGATGCGTTGCCATGTCTTCATCGACGTCGCCATCATCCTCTCTTCCTACAGGACTCGCTCCAGTCGCTGGACTACCTCCTGCAGCTCATGCCGTACTCCATCGAGAACTATTTCATATACATTCCTCTCTACACCTGATCCTCCTGATTTTACGAGGACCTTGGGACACAGTGACCCCTGATCTCGCGGACACCGTCACGTGTCCGCGTCTTAGCGCCACTCTTCGTGCCCTGGAGACCAGCATTGAGCAGATCAAACGAACTACCTGTACTACCTTGGTCTACACGGATCAACTTTTGGATGCTCTGCGATTATTACATCCTCTTCAACGTCGACCACCTCCGCTCCCACACCAGTCTCTTCCTCTTCCTTGCCTCGACTCATCTTCTCTCCACCCTCTCCCACACTGCCTCCACCGACGTCTACATCGACGACTACCACGGACCTACCTCTTCCTCTCACTACTCACTCCCTTCCTTCCACTTCGACATCGCCGAGGAGGCCACGCCCTCGCTCACGCTCTCGCTCTCGACCTCCCTCGCGACGATTTAGACTCTAGTTTTCAAATACTCGACCTTCGGCGGGTTTCAGCAAGAAAAGTTGCCTTTCAGATGCCTCTATGTGTCCCTTATTTCTCCTTTTGACACTCCACGCATTTCATTCTTGCCCCCGTCACTCATTTTTCGCTCATCAGCACCCGCTCGTTTTGATCCGTCCCGTCCCTCGCCGCCCTTTTCTTGCCATGGCTTCTACGCCCACCCCGCCTTGCGGTCTCGCACTGATTCCAGGACTTCCACCTGTCGCTCAAGCAGTTCTACATCGCGAACTTCTACTTGTACACGCATTCCTGGCCCAGATCCATGCTATCCTACATCGCCCGCTTGGTCTCCGTACCACTCCACTTATGGATCGCGTGACGCACCCACATCTCCGAGCTCAACTTGAAGGTCTGGACAACACTCTCCTTCTTGCACTTCGAGTGAACCACACTGCCTTCACTACACCCATGAGCTCCTCACTGCCTTGGGTATTCTTCATATTATACATCACAGTCCTGAACAACTTGAAGCTGAACTTCAAGGCCGTACGGACTTTGGCGATCGGGCATCTCTCTCTCTACCAGGACTCACAACACCTCCAACCGGATGCCTCCATCTTCTGAACCTCCGTCCTTTCGCTTCGTGTCTCGGACCCGATTGAACATCCGCTCTCGGTCCCGTTCTCGACCTCGATCGACCAGATCTTGATCGGCTTGTTTCACCCTCTACTCATGCGATCTTCGATAAATCAGGTGCACCTTTGGTTGCTGTGATTCTCATGTTCACTTTGCATGACCATTTGACACTTCCCTGCTTGGTTTTTTCTACCGACTTATTTACTGACTTGAGTACCTCAATGTATTGCTCACTTCATTCTCGCATGTCTACCACTTCATGTTTTCTTTGGCCCCTCAATACTTTCCAGCTTTACTTTACCGCTCTGCATCATGGCGAGCTCTGGTTCCTCTCCGGCTTCCCATCGAGCTCATCGACGACGTGAACCCGGACGCAGTTCCCGCTCTCGTGAGGAAGTGGACTACAGCGACGATGACAACACCGCCTTGCCTTCCATCAACCCACCAGCGGGGACCGAAATTGCCAGTGGTCCTCCAGTCCCATCCACGTCCTCCCCACACAGTTGCACCACGTCCCCCACGTTCACATTTTCCTTCCCTTTCTTGTCCTATTCCACTCCCTCGGCCACATGTCTCCACTTCCCCGCATTTTCCACCCTCACCACCGACACACCTCACCAACCCCCCTTTTTCCACCACCACGATTGCAAGCCCCTCGGCCCAGGCCTCCACTTTCTCACCCTCGCACCACCGGTCCACCTCCCCACAACCCTTACGCACCACGCCCCCGCCCCAGGCAACCACTTTCGCAACCACTTACTTCCCGGGGCCATCGCACTTCTCGTTCGGCACGGTCACCCCTTCCACGGCATTATGATCGGCGACGCTCCCATCCCAGAAGCCGTTCTCCCCATTCTCGCAAACCACGGTCAACCCGACGCCGTTCACCAGCGACACCGCGGTCTCAGCGCGGCTCCCGGCGTGATCACAGTCGCCGATCGCATTCTCGAGCATCTCGACATCACCAATCCCGAACTCGCACTGGTCGGGAGGCCCCGGATACCAGAGCGACATCACTCCTCCCGTCGTCCCTCACCACGTTCACGGTCGCGCCACTCCAGGACAACGGC